GCTCTGTCGTTTCGGCTCGTGCCTGTTCATTTTCAATTGAGCGCATTTAAGCGCCTTTAAAGCGTGACTCAATTGAACTACATACATACATATATTTACAAAAGCATCTATGTAGGTACACACATATGCATGTGAGCAAAAAAAAAAACAAATATCACAAGAAAATGATTGCCACTTTTCGTGTGAGTTTGACAACGTGCGCTAATTGTTAAAAAGGAAAATGTGACGTTGCAATAATTGAAACTGTCGTACTTACATACGTACATACATACTTACGTTCATATCAATGTGCACATACTAAATATGTGTTTTCCACAAACGATCAGTAAATGGTTCCGATTTAGCAAAATAATTTAATTGTATATTTAAATATTTTAAATATTTTTGTATGGCTCATCATTTAAAATTTTGATATGATTTCTCAGCCGAAACTGGAGTTGCTTTGTATTCATACTGTGTTTAGTTTTAAAATTCTCTAGTAAAAGAGACACCTATTCAGGCGGCAGAGAAAGGAAACTCTCAGACATTTAGTCATTAATTTTATACATATTAAAAAGGAAGAGACTTCTTCAAATAAAATTTTTGACAACCAAATGGGTGTACTACACTATTAGAATTACATCCCATAGTACAGATATTCACAAAAAAATGTTGTATGTAAAATCTAATAGATTAAAGAAAAAATATAAGCTGGAACAATCTACGTATGTACATATGTATGTATGTACACACTGGCAATCAAAAGTGAGGTGTTGGTCTTTTTGTTTAATATCTGGAATGTTTCTCATGATACATTTTTTTTGTTATTTTTTATAAAAATATGGTTGATGGTCATCAATCATAACCACATAAGTCAAACTTTCAAACTTTATGCAGAACTTAGGAAAATTCAAAAAATTTTCGTCTAAATTTTGAACTCTTTAATCTGAATTTTTAGAAAAATGTTGAGTAAACGGCTAAAAGATCGCGTTCAATTGTAATGACTTTTGTGCCGACGGAATTTTTAGTTTTTCCATATAACAAGTGCAATTCATAAAATATAGCGTTAATGTTTTTTTTTTTAATTTTGATGGCAAATGGTCTTGCGTATTTTATTCTACAACACTTTTGTCCCTTATGTTTGAAAACTTGCAAGTTCTGTATAAAGTTTGAAAGTTTGACTTATGTGGTTTTGATTAAAGCATGAACCATATTTTTATAAAAAAATAACCAAAAAATTTTTGCTTGAAAAGGATTGCAAATATTAAACAAAAAACACAATGCACTCACTTTTGATTGCCAGTGTATCACAGTCGAAGCTTTTCAGTATGTCAAAGCTTTTTATATAATTTTTATAAAAACTCTAAAATCTCCGTTATCTGATCGAGTTTTATTTCCGAGGTATAAATTTTCCTTGCGAAGGAGCCGATTTATAATATACCCACAGTAAGAAATTCTCTACATTCTTTAAAGGCGAATAGCATTAATGTGCCTTGGGAAAAAGGAGGATGACGGGAAGAATACTCTCTGAAATATTGACCGCGCTAATAGCAGGGCTTCATTGCATACCAGCAGTTTGATAAAAATATCAAGCTATGTGTTGGTTGAGTGGTATTCGCACGTAACTCAATCCACTTGTAGTTGCGACAGGGTCATCGATTCTGGGGGGTCAACCGTCACAAAAGTTACTCGCTTGGCTTAGTGCTTAGAAATTGATTTCTTTCTTATGACACTTAACGACTGGACTGTAAATGCCATAGATTTCAAGTTAACACAATTTCGGGTACAGTGGTTGTTTTACGAGCTCCAGTCTTTCAGTTCATAGAGATGCCTTCTGACGAGCCCAGGGTTAGTTTCCGTCTCGAGCAAATGTCTGTTCGGGTACTCATATCTGTATCACCTTACCAGGAACTGCTTACAGCGCTCCTACACGATATTTATTTGCATATGTAAAGGCTACTTTTCTGATTTTTGCTAACTTCGTCCACCGGAGTTACGGAATTATCCCGATTTTAACTCGTAGCTCATCTCAAATTTAAATGCTATCTCTTGTGTTTTTTTCACTTTGAGAAAATGCTTACCAAGCCGAGAAAAATAGTTTAAAACATTTCGAAAGAATACTTTTATTATCCATCTCTCCTTATAGAGTTATAAAATATAATTAGATCGAATTCCGAGTTAATTTTCTTTTTGCAAATTGCTCTAATAAAACATTGCCAAATTTGTTGTGTAGCGACATTCGCTTCCTGTGATTAGTGAGCGAACTTATTTCGGAGATAATTTTTTAGACAATTTGGCATCAGAGCTCCACTTAAAATACCAACGCAAAGCATATACACCGTGCAAATACAGATGTGCATGTCAATATATATTATGTCCCATGTCGCTCATCAGTTATCTCACTGCTGCTGCTGCTGCTGCTACAATTCAGAGTACGTCACGCGATTATTATTTAAAGTGGTAAAACAATTATTTTCACATTAATAACGAAGACTACTAAACGCAGCGACGAGGCGACGAGACAAAGCGAAAACCGAGACATCGACTTGACATGCAAACAAAGTGTCTCGAATGCTTTTCTGCATGTCTGCACTCTTTAAATCACAATTTTGTATTACAGCATCTGTGCTAAGTTTCTTACAAACCTACAAGTTGCCATTAAAAGTAAAGCGAAGCCAGCGCAAGTGATTTCATTGCTACTTTTTAGTCATTACTTATTCTACTCTTTTTTTGTTTGTTTGTTTTTTCCTACGTATGTATGTATGTACTTACTTCACGCTTTAGTAACCCGACCGACAGCGGAAGCTCAAACTGACTGAACGTCGCCGCTGGTGGCCAGCGAAAGACGACGCAAAAACGGCGCAGATATATTTCATCAAAAGAAATGCATTGCCGGTTGACAGCTGCAGACATGATAAGGACAAATCGTCTGCCTTCATAACTACATACATACATGCATGCATACATACACGGAAATATATATGTATGTATGTATGTAAATGTGTGCAGTCAACTGGCTTACGCTGACACAAAGTGAACGTTGACATGCCTTTGTCACGAATAGTTAACTCAATAATAATGGCAAAAACATCAGCAGCATGAAAACATGAAAAGCAAAAACAATAACACAAACAAAATTATGCGTATCATAATTTGAGATTTATTGTGTAAAACTAAAAATAAATAAAAAAAATTTACACATAAAAAAAGTAGTTCAACTGCTTGGCCGGAGTTATTAGCGTGGCTTGGCTTGCATGTATTTGCCACAGCTCAAGGTCATATGCGCTTTGTGTGTGACGATGGTTTATTGCCTCATCAAAAGCTTTCCAAGAGCTTTGTATGACTCTCGCCAAGTACTGCCTTCGGTTTATGTAAATGAGGCGTGTTTTGTTAGTTTTATACATTTTTTTCTTCTTTATTTTTCTTCAAATCTGTGCTATGCAAATCAAACGTCGCACACAATATATCATTTGTGCTCAATAGCCCGTAAAGCGACTCGATAAGTGTGGATTTAACATAAAGTTGTCTTCGAATAGTAAACGAATCTAATTTTTAGCAGCCGTTGAGTGCTTAGAAGATACAAATTTGTTTTTTTTATATAATTTTCCAACCTTTAGCATATTTCGTTTAATTTACTTGTGCTCAGCAATGCGTGCCTCGCGCGGTTGGCAAATTTTGTATGAAACGAAAGACTTAAGCAACGAACTTCAACCCAATTTTATTATTACTATTTTTTGGAAAAGTCACGTCTTTAAATCAATACATATGGACATATCTATACATTAAATTAATATGGGGATCTTTATTAGAGCAATAGAAGTCAAATCTAAAATATTTTAGAATATTTGTCTGTTTGTCTGTATGTTTGTTCGAACATCACTCCAGCCCTAATGCTTGAAATCGAATGCAGTTTTCACTGGTCTATTGCTAGAGGTCTAACTTAAGATATAGAAAAAATGATAATTGGGGAGTTGCCACCTGTTGGAAAATTGCAATTTAAGTAAATTGTTAAGATAAAGTAAATGTTGCAGTATGGAAGTCAAAAGAAAGAGGTTTAAGAAGGCCGAAAATATTTTCTGGGAAAGTTGCCACCTGCTTGAAAATTTAAATTTAATTTAATGGATGAAATTAATTAAATAATGCAATCTGAGTGTCAGACTAAAGGGGATTATGAAAGTTTACTGCCGAAAAATATTTTTGAAGGCGGTTGCCACCTGTCTGAAAAATTTTATTAAATTTAATATCTAAAATAAACTAAATATTACAACACCAGTATCAAGATAAAGACTTTTAAGAAACTTTACTGTTTCGAAGCGGGTATTTGAAAAATTTAATTCATTTAATTTGATAAGATAAGGTAAATATTGAATTAATAGGCCTTTGAAGAAAACGCGCAATATATTGACTCGAGTTTTAAGATTATAAATTAAATTTCGAGAAGAACGCCGATACTTAACCTACTTTCTAAATGCCTTGGTGTATTAACTAACACCATAATTCAAGAAAAAAAAGAGTGCTTCATAAATCGAAAATTTGTTTGAAAATCTCACTTCATAAAGCTCCTAAAATCTTTTGGGAGGGAATAACCACACAAATGTACGTCTAAGGCGCATTTAAGCACGCCGGATATTTGCTAGTGCATGTGTAAAATTATATGGCAACCTTCAATCTTGATTATATGTATATTATATATACATCTTATAAAGGAATTATTGGCAGTTTATTTTTGATTGTTAAACGAAAAATTACACTGAAGATGGCACAACGCCGAAAGCGGTTTGTCTCCAAACCAAAATTGATAAGGCATGACGGAAACTCGTCCCGAAAAAAATTGCTTCGATGCTTCAAATGTATCACTTCGGCATGAGTTTATATATTTATTGCAAAACATCTAAATATTTGATTGATTAAATGTTTGATTCAAGATACTTAAGAAAAAAAGTTCTAGATTAAATTTTTTATTCTATGAAAATTTCATTTAGAATTCCCTTAATTCATATAATTTTTTCTTTTTCTTCCAGGACTTATACTACATTACCTTCGGTTACCCCGAGAAGGAATTGAACACAGATATTGCTTTAATAACTGGTGGAGGCAATGGACTTGGCCGATTGCTCGCTCAACGTTTGGGTAAAATGGGCACCAAAGTGATCGTTTGGGATATTAATAAAGATGGTAAGTATGCGAGACACAAAAACTATAAGGAATTGTGATATGAAAGGAAGAAGCATTAAAAAAAAATAAATAAAGGATGTTAACGCACAATTTTTTCAAAAGTTTTCACTTTTGGTACTTCTTATTTACTTAAGAAGCTCACAGAAAAAGCAGGTGCAATATTTTGTAGTAATTTTTTGAAAGCAATCAGAGCGAAAATTGCATTCTTCGTCTTTTTAAAAAACCGTGAATTTCGAGTTAATATACTTTTGAAGAAAAGCTCATAGAATCCTCTAAATTTATATAATTTTGATTTATTTATTGCTATTCCAGGCATACAAGAAACCATCGAAATCGTCGAAACTGATGGCGGCTACTGTAAAGGATATGTTGTCGATATTTCAAAGAAGGAGGAAGTTTACAAGGCAGCTGAAGTGTTGCGGAATGAAGTTGGCGACGTAAGTAATCAGAGTTTAAGTAACAAAGCTCTCAAAAGGTATATTAAATCGACTAATACCTAACGATTCAATTATAATTATTGGAGCACTTTGATACTAAAAGTCAACTTAAGTAGGAAACTTCCTTAGCACCTTTAATCTTAATTTTAACCCTTTAACTGCCAACTGGTTCAAAAATTACGGTACGACGAGAAGCTAAGAGACTAGACAGTTTTACGTTAAATTGTGTCAACAACAAATCCACTACATTTAGTGTAATAGAAACGAGCCTGATCGAAGTTCTTGATTTACTGAAAGACAAATCTTCATCAGTTGAGCTAGAGGGCAGTCCATTCTCTCAAAGCATCAAAGCCAACGAGCAAGCACACCGGTTCTAATAACAAAGCCTGTTAACTCTGCACGGGACGCAGTGGACCCTTTCTTTCATACCTTTGAAAAACAGAGAATCTGCACTCAATACATTTTTCATAACTGATTAAGAATTTTTTAAGCGAACGAGCCAACTACTAATAAAGATTTGGTGCACAGGGTTAACTTTTTTCCTAATTTTCAGAGACTTTATCTCAGACCTGCCTTTATAGCAAATACAGGGAGAACGAAATTCTCAATAAATTTCTGAGACTGCAAGATTTAGAAAAAATCTCATGATGCCCTAAAATATGATACAGTTTCCAAAGAGGGGAACCGTGGTACCAAAAGGTCCAAAGTTAGGGGGATGCGAAGCTTTATAAACATTATAAAATAGTAGGACCAAATCAGTAGTGCCTTCTCTCGATTTTAGTGGTTTAATTCCTAGAGAGAATAGTCCATATCGACCTAATAAAGGACATTCGATTACTCTCTGATGGTGAACATACGTACGAATGTACGAAGAAAGTCTATTTGCTTAGGAAAAAAACGCATTGGTATGCATTTTGCCATTTACAGGCCTATTCTACTTGTTACCGAACATTTCACTGGGCAATATTTTGTTACTTGCTTATGGAGTGGGAACAAAATTTACCAGTGCGCAGAATGCGAAAAGGGTTTAAAAATTACCAGGAACTTTTTTTACCGGTAACAAAATTTTGGTTACCAACGCAAAATGGGCCTGATAGAAGCTACTTTTGAAAGAATTCGTCTTTTTGACCCCCAGGCATTCTCTCAGAATAAAATTGAATGCGAATTTCTATGAAGCTTCAAAACGCATAACAAATCAACCGCTCGCAATCTAAAGTAGTTCACTAACTCGCTGCTCTTAACTTCCTCTGTTTAACCTCAGCAGTAATTGAAACACTTTTAAGCTAAATAATGCTTGAATTTTAGTACATAACCATTTGCATTAAAAACTCAGTCGACCTTGAAAGTTTGTATGAAGTGTCGGTTAAGGGCACAGAAGTGCTACAGAAGCGCACACACAACACAACAAAGCCGCTCACTCGTACTTCAACTTGACTTGTGACCCTATTTCATTTATGTAAATATATATTTGTATGTATGTACATATAGAGTTACTTTATTGCATGCAACGTGAACTTGCTTATCTTATCCGTTATTCTTTTTTTGTTTCATTTTTCCACGTCAGCGCATAGCCTACCACTTCTTTTCAATGCAAACGGCGGCAGCTGTTGCCGTTATTGTTTGTTGACATGATTGCGAGATTTAAAATATTTAAATGCCAGCGCAGTTGACACCCATCAAATTTAATTAGTGCTTAAGGACTAGTTATATTTGCTTATGCAATTCAACGCGCTTCAATGAAGAAAGAATTCAAGCACTCAATGCTTTAAATTTAAAAAAAAAACTGACTGAACGCGAAAAACCTCTTTTAGACAGGACAACAGCAACAGCAACAACAGCAGTTGTCTTCTTTTATGTTGGTAATTTTTAGCATAAAAGAGTTAAAATATACCAGAAGCGTGTTTGTTTTAAATAGAATGACTACGGGTTGTTTTTTTTTATATATTAAGATTAAAAACTAAACAATTAAAAATCTAATTTACTTAGCCTTCATAGTTGACAAGTTATTGCAAAATATTTTCAAGTTTATGTGACGTCTTAAAGGAAAAAAATCTCTTAAGGCTTCCATTAGCACAGCTGGCAATTGGCAGCAGCAACGAATCAAACCCACTTGCTAAGCGTTTTTTTTCTCTTTTAGAAAATATTAAATAAATTTCCGCTGCTTTACCAATTACACAACATCACAAAAGCCAAACTAAATAAGAAAACGAAAAAATGTAAAGTTGCCAGAAAACTTAGAAACCGCTCGCCTTGACATCAATATCAATTGCTGACCGGCACGCATGCGCTATGAACTCACACGCCTAGAACAGCTGGAGTCAAATGGCCGAAATTAGTTTTGCGCAACAATTCTTGGCTTTAACGCATTGGCAAATAAATTGTATTAGTAAATGGCGGCAGAACTTGTTGCAAGTCGATAAACATCAGTTGCGCAATAACTTGTCTGGGTAGATATACATACATATGTATGTGTATAATAACTAATATATAGGCAAATGTAAATATTCAAAGTGGGTTAAGATTAGCTAGAAAAAATAACTGAATTGTGGTAACCCACCACAGCCTTTCGAATTGTCAATTCTAGCAACTATCCTAAAAGCTGCCTATCGAAAGACTAATTGCCAGCGAGGAGGTCCTAGCGTTATTCTCTTTGTCTTTTAGCAATAAGTTTTTAAAAATAAAATTAAACAAAAAATATATATATTAAAAGAAATTTAAATTACAAAGGGGAAAAAGTTAAACTGAGAAACACTGAAAATATGTTCCCAAAAATTAAATGAGAGTAAAAAAACACATTTTTTTGTGACAACAATAAAATCTAGAAATTTAAATTCCATCAAAATTAAAAACGAATATAATTAAAAAGAAAACATGTTATTGTTCCTAAAAACTATATTTTTTACATTAAAAATCATTTTAATTTCTTTTAATAAAATTTAAATTAAACTAAAAAAAAAAATTTTAAAAAACTACATAAAATAAATTTCAAAAAAATTTAATGAATTTGTATTGAAATCAATAAAATCTTAACATTACAAGAAAATGGCACACCAGTGCTTTCCTGACTTGGCCATTGCGGCTGTGAGAGCTATACATACCTAGTACTTTCTCTCAAAAGAGCTTGTCACCGTGAAAGTTGCCAACGGAGCAACCAAATCTTTCAAACAATCTTGCCTACTGTCTTTCAATTGTCTTATAAAAGACTTTCAACTATCTTTGCTAGGACTGCTTGTTAATCAATAAACCGAATATAACAAAGAGAAGAATGCAAAAAACGTAAAACTCATATGGAAGGTCTACCAGACCCCTTTATGAAACTTATTAGTTCGTCGACTGAAAGAGAATGCAACTTTTCCACTATCAAAATAACTGAGCCGAAAATGCACCAACTCAGTGCTTTTTTTTCTCTCTCTATGAGGACCTTGTCTGACTTTTTCAGGAAACTATTCTCATTATCTCTATTTAAGACATCCCCGATATACCAGACATTCACCGCCATTCTTGGCCCTGTAATGCATCTGATCCAATTGAAAGATCTAATGAACCGCAGTTACCGATTGAAACCCGTTGGTATTATACCTGTAGCAGGAAAACATCTGAAGATACCAGAAGCTAGGGAGAGGCTAAGGTTCCATTATGACACCTGGTTGCTTAAAGCTATAGAAAGTTTTCGGCGACTTGCTCAAAAGAAGCTTTGGTTTCCTCTATTGCAACTTTGAAAAAAAGTAACAACATAATTTCTTTCAAAACCGGAATCCGATCAGTGCGTGATGAGGCAAGGTTTTGTACTCATGGGGCCGACAATGTCTCTACGCAGGCTAAAGCTATTTACACATACATTACCGTAGCCGGTTTCAGACTTTAAGAGCCAGTTTTTCAGTGCACGGCCGTGCTTTAAACTCAGTTTAAACGCCCGATCTGGCTGATTTAAACTAAATCAGCCAATGAAATGTCAGCCAGCTGTTCAATTTAAACTTAGTTTATTTAATATTAGTTTAAAATGGCACTGAAAAGCTGGCCCTAAGGCTTACTATAGGTCCTGAGACACCGTCCGAACTGGAAACCAGGCCTTCTGTCTCTGTGGACAGACCAATACGAATTTGACACATATTTATGAGAACGCAGACCCCGATAGCTAATGCGTAGCCCGTCGTTAGTTCGTTAAAAGTTTCTTTCATCCCCCTTTCACATCACAAACACAGGCATTTTCAGCTGAAGTTTTAAGTTAACCATTAAATTGAGAGGCCGCCAGGTACGCTGCGTGTAGATACGGGTATTTTTATTTAATGATCGGATTATACTTTCGAACCAACGATAAACTAAATCGATTTCTCCTAAGCAACAATATTTGTGATCTACATTATTTTTTAAAAATGTATCCTGCATCCTCTTTCTAGGTGACTTTGTTAATCAATAACGCCGGTGTCGTATCTGGGCGTCATCTTTTGGACACACCCGATCATCTCATCGAGCGTTCCTTCAACGTCAATGTGATGGCTCATTTCTGGGTATGTCAAATTTTTCAATTACTTTTACAAAACATATGCAAATAGTAGAACGAGAATTATTTAGTTTGCATATTTTTTACCATGAAAAAAAACTGTTTTCATTCGTGACTTTGCAGACTACTAAAGCCTTTCTACCAAGGATGATTGAGCAACAGCGTGGACATATTGCGACAATCGCCTCTTTGGCCGGTCATGTGGGCATTACCAAGCTGGTCGACTACTGCGCTAGTAAATTTGCTGCTGTAAGTGCTAAATTACCGCTTTAATTATTAACAGAGTTTCATGATTAAATCAGGAGTATTGACGGAAAGGTGCGCATAGAATCGATTCTTGATTATCAGATTCGACTTACAGGTTTTCGATTCTTAAAGTCATCTCATTCATTCATTCATAAATCATCTCTGATAGTCGACTTAATGTCTTAAAAAATTCTTAAGTAATGAATTTAAAATTAATTATTTCTAATAATTGAGAAAATTATATTTTTTGTCAACTAATTGCACTCGATGTTTAGTTTTATAAATGAGGTAATAATTTTGGCATCGAATACTTCGAATACTTAGTAACAAAATCCGAAAACTTGTCGAGTGAGTATCAATTCTAGTCGACTTGAGGTGGCTGAACTCGAGTCAAAAAGTCGAGTTTTTCAGCAGAGAGTCGATCTTTGACTTAAGTCAGAGCCGATTTTTCCATCGCTAACAGAAGTTTTTCAGTTCAATTGGGCTTTCGGCTGTAGGGCCATGTGGAACGCCTTTTGATGGCATTTCACTTAATAAAGAGACGTAGTGGTGTCTCTTTAGCTGCGCGACCGCTTAATCCTTTCAACTCCGATTCCTTTCCGGCAAAAGTCCTATCAGTCTTGTTGGACTTGTATAAACCATTTAAGTTAGACAAAATTTGAATTATCGGCTTATCTAACTAAATTATTTCCAATGTACCCATCTCAAAGGTCGGCTTTGATGAGGCGCTACGTTTGGAATTGGATGTTCTTGGACATAGCAACATACAAACCACTTGCATCTGCCCGTTCTTCATACAGGCCACCGGAATGTTCGATGATGTCAATGCCAGGTAAAAGAATACATACATACAAGAAATATATCTAACCGAAAAATGCTAATATAATCTCCTCTTAGATGGGTACCCACACTAAACCCCAACGATGTAGCCGATCGCATCATACTGGCGATCAAGAAGAACGAGAAAATTACAATCATTCCAGGCTACATCCGGCTGCTGCTCTCACTTAAATGGTAAGTGTTGATGGCATAACATATTTTTGAGACCGCGAAATCAAATATTTGCTAAATCCGTATTTTTTTCTCCCTGCATTGTCACAGGACGTTCCCTTGGGGCTGCGTAGGCGGTCTGTTGCGTCGGCTTGTGCCTGATGCGGCACCACATGGCGTTGCACAAAAACCTCCTCCAGCCACGGCCAGCAGCACAAGCAAGCAAACGCAACAACTATTAAACAACAACAACAGCATTCCAGCCACCCCAGTCGCCCACGCCAGCAGCGCGATACCCAAGCACACCACCGAACTGTGCACCGAATTCAGCGAAACGCTGCCGAAGACCGCCTCGTTGCTGGTGCAACGTACTCCGTCGCTGGGCGAGCGCGTACTCTGAGATTCGCTGCTGTATTTCGCTTTTAATTTATTTTGCGTTTTTGGCGTTGTCAGCTGCTGCTACCAGTAGCCGCCCCCCCCCCTTCTAGGGCGCCGAGTTAGCGCAAGTGGCCACCAGCAGAGGCATTCTTTAGAGGATTTACGCGCGCCGCGGAACGCGCAACCGTCTAGTGATATTACTTTACTTAGTATTATATTAATTTTAATTTCAATTTATAAGCCTCGATTGGCTTATTTAGATACTCGTGCGAACGGTTATGAGCAGATATATGTACGTATGTATGTAGTTATGAAGGTAACTATCGAGCGTAGTAGAACAATAATTTAAGAATGGACGGGTATTATTCGTAGTTAGATTAAACTCGAATTCGGAGTACGCATTTTATTGTAAAGTTAATTTCTTTTTAATTCCAATGGGTGTAAGTCTAGCTCAATAACCTCAAAGTAAGGTATGTATGTAGTAGATACATGTTTCAAATAACCGCTAATTATGTCAAAGAAAATATAAGAATGGAAAATCATTTAAAAGTTTAATTTATTTTAATTTTCAGAATAATGAAGCTCGAGTAAAGCGCTTTCGATTGAAAGCTCTTGTGAATTGAAGAATGCTACATTAAATATATTCGTATAACTGCTTTAGTAAAAACTTTATGAACTTGATTAAATAAAATAAATCTCACAAACCTAAAAAATGTATTTTAAGTGTAAATTAGATAGAAATTTAGTAAAAAAGGGAGAGTGTTTAACATACTTCTATGGATACCACTCTCAACTCTCAGGGCATTGCTCAGCCATTAGTCTTAGGTACAAGTCAACCACGAGAACTAATAATATTTGCGGGTAGAAATTAAGTACTTAACATTACCGAGGTTAAATCGCCAAATCCTAGATTAACTAAGCAAAAGAGATATCCGGATCCGAGATCGGGTGGAAGCGAACTTCGACTTACATTACTATTGCAAGTATTTTTTCGGGAAATGTGCGTCTCAATCAAAATTTGTCTCTGAAAGAATGTTGTGTGGAACCTGTATTAGCAAACAAAACTAGACAGAATTCAAAAGCCGTTGTGGCGGCACTAGAGAGTCGAAGAGAATTTGCTCTACGGAAGCCTCAATATTATAACCAACCTACTTCTTATAAACCTTGCTTTAGGCCAAGAGAACTGGGTTTATATGGGATATAGTTAGTAGTATAATTTTTTGATACTTTTCAATAAGACAGGACATTAATTATAAGAGCTGAAATAAATTACACGGTCTCGTGGCTCCATCTCACATCGAAGCGGACTGGATGGAGAATTTAATACCTCCGCCAACCTGGATACATCATTTGTACACCGCTGACACCCGAATGGAAAGCTGAATTGGAACTGTCATTTTTGCTGAACACCTGGGAGTAAGAAGATCGATACATCTGATAGCTTTGCTATGCATTTTAGACGTTGTAGTTTAGAGTTCGACCGATGAATCGGCCGATGTCGAGGCTAGTATCGGCCAAAATAATCGGAATGTTTTTGACCGATTCCTGAATGAGGTATTGTTATTTTGTTATTTGATTATGTTTTTCTTTTGTTACTATAAAAATTTATAAAAGCATTTGCCTTGAAATGAATTTAATTCAGGATTTAATCGGCAGAAGCATTTCAAAATTTTTAATTAGAATATTTAAAAATTTTCGGGTTATAGTTTTGTAGACCATTCAATTGTAGTTAATAAAGTGCAAATTATAGTCTTAAAAATTGCCGGTGTTTTTTAGAATTTTTGTGTTGCCATTTTCTTCCATATAAACATGATCATTTTTTTTTTTTTATATGAAAAAACAACACCCTCCTCAAAAAAAATTCTAAATAATCAACGATAATTTTTAACGACTTGAAACTTGCGCTTTCTTTACTACAATTGAATGGGCTACAAAACTGCATACCCGAGTATTTTCTAAATATTCTAAAATTTCAAATTTGATGACAATTTTTTAAGTTTGATTATTTTTTTGCAATTTTTCAAGTCTTTAAATTTCTATTATTGTGGTTTCTATTAAAGATTGAATTTTATTTAAATAAAATTATTAAAAATAAATAAATAAACATAAAATGCAAACAAAATCATTTTGAATTTCGTTGGTAATTAGATTAGATTAAATTTTCATAAAATCCCATTTGTTCTGTGAAAGATATACAAAATAGGTCCATTCAATATAAAAAAATTTTTACGAATTGTTACTAGTACTTGCAAGTTTTTACTGGAAATGCATTCA